CAAGTGAGGTGTTGTTTGTTTTTTATATGACAGAAAACATATTAAAAAATTATTTTAAGATTTGAGATAGAAATCGAAGTGTATAAGTTTCTCTACGCAAAGCACACACATGTGCGTGTGCTTTATATTAATAACAAGTAAGAGCAGCGCTGTCTTCGGCTATGCCGAAGGCTTCATACCTTTCATGAACATCTGCAAATTTTATTTGACAGATTACTGCTTTTGAATACATCTGCATACATCGATAGAGGAGTTACATACTTATATAAAAAATCGCATCTAAACAATCAGAGGTATGGAAGATATACTTTATATGACACCAATCTAAGTGATTTTCACCGCTATGTGATCGGTATGTAAACCGGTAACACAATTTATCGGGTTTAGTTTCGTACATAAAGGAGATATATGGCAAAAACTGGTATCTTAACAATCAGTGCTATAGGAGATAAAGCTTATACAGCATAGATTTTGACGATTTTCTCAGTAGACTTTGTATTATTATTTATAAAATATCTTACGAAATTTATCGGTTTTAGCTGTTCAAATAAAGGAGTTTTACAGTAAAATCCCATATCTGAACAATCAGATGTATGGAAGATATATGTTGTAGTCATCCGATCCTTGTTATTTTCACTGTAAGAATTCTGTTGATAATGAGTGAAAATAATGCGAAATTTCATGTTCCTAGCTGCATAAATGGAGGAGTTATGATAAAAGACCTCATATCTGAACAATCAGTTGTATGGGGCCTGCAGGTTATAGTGACCCGATCTTTGTTATTTTCGCTGTAAGTCTTCTGTTGATAATGAGTGAAAACAGCGCGAAATTTTATGGTCCTAGCTACATAAATGGATGAATTATAACGAAAAATCTCATATCTGAACAATCAGTTGTATGGGAGCTATAGGTTATAGTTACCCGATATTTTTAATTTTCACTGTAAGTTTTCTGTTGATAATTATTGAAAACAGTGCGGAATTTCATGTTCCTAGCTATATAAATGGAGGAGTTATAACGGAAAATTTTATATCTGAACAATCAGTTGTATGGGGGCTATAGGTTATAGTGACCCGATCTTTGTAATTTTCACTGTAAGTATTCTGTTGATAATGGGTGCAAGTATTGCAAAATTTCATGTTCGTAGCTGCATAAATGGAGAAGTTATAATGAAAAATCTCATATGTGAACAATCAGTTGTATGGGAGCTATATGTTATAGTGGTCCGATTCTTCCGGTTCCGACAAATGATTAATACATTATAAAAATACACCCACCTACCAAATTTGATCCGGATGTCTCGAAAACTGAGAGACTAGATTGCATACAAACAGACAGACAGACGGACAGACGGACATGGCTAAATCAACTCAGCTCGACGTTCTGATCATATAAGTATACATTTTCATGGGTCTATCTCTTTTTGTTCTGGTACTTACAAACATCGGACCAAAGTTATAATACCATTTCATGCTCATGAAAGGTATAAAAATAAAGTACACACATGTGCCCGTGCTTTTTACCAAACAGCACACACATGTGATGTGAGCAAGTTTTTAATTTTTTATATGCACAGCACACGTGTGTGAGCGTAAAATGGTAGGATGTGCTGCGCATGTGTGTGCAAATACGAACCCTGTTTTCAACTTTTTGGACCATTTATAAAAGCGTGGTATATTAAAAAGTTTTATTTTTATATTTTATTTATTTATATTATAGATTTGCCATATTTTTGCAATATTTGCATAATTCAGCCTAAAAAAATTTAACCATTAGAACCGAACTGAATCGCGGTTCAGGGATACGCACGAACCGGTTCTTGTACCGGTATAGGCGGTTCGAACCACTGGACCGAACCTCACCGATTTCTGGGGTGGTTTGCAGTCCTGGTAAATACATTTATATTTATTATTATCACTAAATTATTAAAAGTCAAAAGCAGATCATAGTAAAATACGTATGTATATCAAAATAAAGTTTATTACTCGTATTTTATGAAAAATATAAATTTCTTTAGCAATAATTTTGTAATTTTTTCCAAAAAAGGTCATTTTAAGAAAAAATTACGACTAATTTTTTTTTGTAAGAGGGTAGGGTCCCTAAAAGTTGACAATTTTTCCACATGGAGCAAATTTGTATTTTTATTCTTTTCCGTCATATTTAAGATTGTGTTGTCTGTGAATAAATATAAACAAATTCATAAAACTCTTTTTATTTATAAAAAATAGTTTGTCTGGGTAAAATTAGTTTATTGTCGGTTTACCGGTTAACAAATTGATTTTGTTTTCATTCACCTATCTTTTATGGATTGTTGTTGAAAAAGTGTATCCAAATTGTAGTCTTTGCTTTTATTTAAATTTTAACATTCAATGAGTTGCCATTAACAGGTCTATTCTGCACGTTACCGAAGATTTTGTAACCGGAAAATTTGATTACCAAAAAATGGTACCAGTTCTTGTCACCTCGATTCTAGGTGCGTTGGTATTGCAGTTAAAATATTCTGCAATTCAGCTATGGAGAATTGTGGAAATTCTGGCATTGCATATTTCACGGAGCAATACTTTGTTACCAGCTTATGAGTTGGTAACAAAATTTACCGGTTACAAGAGCACAAATTTGACAGGAACTTTATTTACCGGTTAAAAACTTTTATTACCGGTAAATAAAGTTCCTGTAAATGTTTAAGCCCTTTTCGCATTCTGTGTACTCTTATAACCAGTAAACTTTCCAGAAATCTTCGTAGCTGAATTGCTGAATACTTTAACTGCACAACGAAGGTACCTAGAATCTTGGTGACAAGAACTGGTAACATTTTTTGGTAATAAAATTTTCCGGTTGCAAAATCTTCGGTAACGTGCAAAATAGACTTGAAAAATATATTTTCTTCTCCACCATTGTTCGATTTAATTTTTCTTGATTTTAAGTTTTTTTTAATACTACTCACCTAGTATACGTAGTTTGATTAAACCCCAGAAGCATTCGGAGCCCATTGATGGTATTTGGGAGTCGGTAATGCGCAGCACTTCAAGGTGTCTAAATTTTTGTAAGAAGTTGCCAATTGTAATGGTGTTTCCTGGGCCTTTTATGATAATAACACGCACATCACTATCAATTTGTCCCACTGGCATAGCGCTGAGACCACCTGCAAAATAAGGAAATACCTTTATTAGAGCGATTCCAGCGTCACGTGTTGGACATTTGTACAGATAAAATTTTCGTTCTAGTTTTTAAATAGGGCCAATGTATATAAATTGTTACGATTTGTATATTTGGAGCTTTTCGGCCGTTTATTTTAAAGCAAAAACGTTGGTTTTTCTTTTCTGCCTCCTACGCGTTTCGACACATTATTGTGTCTTCCTCAGGGAGTCTTAACATATAATAACATAAAATCACATTAATTATTTTATGGACATCACATTTTTAAATTAACACTTAACATTTAAATACATCAATACTTTATCCCAGCTGTTCGTCTATTACTCGCTATTATCGCTGCGCGGGATAAAGTATTGATGTATTTAAATGTTAAGTGTTAATTTAAAAATGTGATGCCCATAAAATAATTAATGTGATTTTATGTTATTATATGTTAAGACTCCCTGAGGAAGGTGCCTTTTATATAGAAGAAAATGCTTAGCACCGTCAGCCAAAATTATTAAAATGGACGCGTTCTCCTGGCGTCTTGATATTTTCACTTTTACCTACTTAAATTTAATGGACTAAAAAACTGCATACCTAAAAATTCTGAACAAAAAGTTTAAAATTTTTGGGTGTAATTGTTAAAGTTTGCTGAATTTTTATAATTTTTGTAAGAAGTTTGAAATGTGGATTTATGTGGTTCTGATTGGGTAATGTGCTAGACTTATATAAAAATAAAACTATAAACATTAGATTAACAAAGTAAAGAATCATAACTGGTCAAAATGTAACTTAATTTAATCAGCTGACCACAAAGGTATATAGATAATGGACGAGTCCGCGCATCCCCCCTCCGCCCCTGCGTATACCTCAACAAACAAAAGCTTACCAGCCCTGTAAACCTACCCCTGACAACTGTCCCACACATAGCTGTCACGGGTGGGACATGCTTCTTTGTTGAATTATTCTTATCTAACTACGTGGAAACGACAATGCAATTGTGGTAAATATTTGCAATGAATTTCTAAAATTATGTAACAAACACGAAACACAACCTCAACTTCTGTAATTAAATATAACAACTTTTAGCTTTTTTGTCAAGAGTGAGACAATACCAATTCTGCTTAATAATATCTCAAATATAGATAAAGCAGTGACACAATCTTATTAAAAGCAGATGAGTTCTACCATATATTTTTCTTACCAAACACTTGAATTATGAATCCCAAATTATTTGACAGTGCATTCAACACAACCTACTTTGAACTCAATCAAAAAATTTACTTAGAACGTACTTTCAAAACGTAAAAAAAGTAATAAAAGTGCATTTAAAGCTTTATTTTATTGGTTGGTTTAAAATTTTTACAAATGTCTTATCCACACATTTGTTAGTTTTATAAAGAAAATAATTTTTGCACTGAGGTACACTTTCCCAGATGCCAGATGCGCTGATTTAATCAGTACATGTGCCTGATTTTTTTTCTATTGTACTGATTTTTAAGAGCCCGAAATCAGTACGCAAAATCTACTGATTTTTTGAGTTTGTACTGATTTTTACATTTAATACTTCTGTAAATTGGTGTAATTGACATTTACTTGAGGTTTACATGTTCAAAACAATGGTTTTGACAACTCATACGTGTGAGCAGATTGAAAGCGTTAATTAAATTTAAACCATTATTAAAAAGGTGTCAGCTTGCAATTGTTTCATTTCCTAGGAATTCGCAAAATAAGAAAATGTTTGGATTCAACCCAACCCAACTTCACGATTTACAGGTTTTACAGGATTTACAGGAAAAGCTTGTTTCGCCATTAATAAATCTTATGAAAGGTGTTAATCATATATTAAGTACACTCAGAAGATGACAATAAGAGATCATATTTTGATTATAATTAAGCATCCACTGAGAAATCGGCTGTCAGTATTTCAANATTCGCAAAATAAGAAAATGTTTGGATTCAACCCAACCCAACTTCACGATTTACAGGTTTTACAGGATTTACAGGAAAAGCTTGTTTCGCCATTAATAAATCTTATGAAAGGTGTTAATCATATATTAAGTACACTCAGAAGATGACAATAAGAGATCATATTTTGATTATAATTAAGCATCCACTGAGAAATCGGCTGTCAGTATTTCAAACTTAAGACGATTACTGCTACGGTGCAATGTAAGTTCTAAAAATTTGGAAAAGGTGCAAACTACCGACGCTTGGATATGATATATGTAGCTTATATTTGAGTTTTGATGTTCGACCACCTATAATTTTACTTGCACATACACATTTAACACTATTAAATTTCATTCGTACTCGAAAATTCGTTTAGCGATAATTCGGTAGTATACATTTTAGTCAACATTTTAATGTGAATGTTGTATTTAATAAGCACACCAACTAAATATGTTTTCAATTTGTAGCTTAAAATATGCAAACAGATTCTGACTCGAGCTCGTCTTCTACTGAAACTGAATTAGCTAAAATTTTATTTTTATTTTTTCAATTCCTATACATTTTCTAGAAAGTTTGAGACTTCAACTTACATGTCTTTTGTTATAGAATTAACTATATTTTTATACAAAAATTTAATTAAGTAAGGAAAGAAAAAATTTTCAAAACCTGTAAATACATTTTACTACTATTTTCCTGAGCACAGCTGTACATACATACGTAATACCATTGATTTGTTTTAAAGTAATGAATTTTTGTATTGATAATACTATACCGTCACTGGACACGAATAAAGGCGCGAGCTCAAAAGTTGACGGCGAAAAAAGACGCATAAAAAACTTTAGAGTCAAAAACTCTTAACACACTTCGCCGAAGTTTTTCATAAGCATCTTTTTTGGCAAATTTTTTTACGCGCCTTTTTTCGCCTTCAAAACGCTATCGCGCCTTTATTCGTGTGTAGTGACGATACGTATTTAAAAGTCTATTAGTTATTTTTTTTTTAATTAATGCGCTGTTATTTGGTTGCTATATTGTTAATAAAAAAAAAATACGCTTAAAAATGAGCTGAGTTTTATGGCTTTGAACTGATTTTTGATCCCAACTGTACTGATTATGTCCCTATAATATCTGGCCACCCTACTCCCATTATTTAATACGTATTCCTATAAGAACATTTCTAAATTCAGAGTGATTTAAGAGAGGTTTGGTAATAAATTTAAGCTTATGCAGAATGATAGAAAATAAGATTGCGCCCTCAATGTTCCGCTATCTTTTTTGGTTTGAGTTTGACAGCCAGCTTCTTTGGTGTGACGTCATAAGCGCAACGATAATTTACCACAAAGAGCAACAAACTAACAATTAAGTGAAGAAGGTGAAAAAGGCGATGAGTAATTAATTTGACTGCCTGCAACTAGGAAAAGTCGAGCGCTGCTAATAAAAAAAAAACTAATTACAAGCTATTCATTGCAGGTGAAACTTTTCAGAGGAACTAAGCAGATCACAGAACTAAGCAGACAACAAAATAACAAGATTTTAAACTACTCCGGCTGGCAGCCACGACTTTCAAACAGAATGTTCTTTGAAATTTTCATTCCTAGAAAATAACAATGTATTTGCTATATCCAACTACTTAGAACCTCGCTATAAGCACACATTTTTTAAACCAGACACAGAAGAAAGGATTAAAAACGAGTTACAAAAACTAAAACCAAAAAACGTTAATGACGTTACAGGTTATCCAAATTTTGAAACAACCAAAAGAATGAGAATGAAGAATTCTGTCGAAAACAACGGTGTTTAAATAACGATCTTGGAGGATACATCCGACATTTGCAGCCCGGATGCACTTCTCAAAAAGGAATTATTGCACCGCAATAAAAATACAAATACAGTAAAACCCGCTAACCCCCCTCCCCCCCTTTTTTCCCCAAACCCGCTTAAGTAACCAACATTTTTGGGCACCGTGGGCCACTTGAAACTTGCACATTATTACACTAAAATTGTCAAAATTTGATGCATTTTTTCAGTGTTTTACAAAATTTGAAGCTTAGGTTTAGGGCTGTTTGCAGCTCTCAAGAAAAATCCCAAGAAATATTTTTCGTTATTTCTGTTGGTTGCAAAAGTACCTTTCGTTTGCTAAAAATTTTCTTGAAGAAATAAATATCCTAACATTTTTTTCTTGAGAACACATAAGGAAGAATCGACAATATAGGACGACAAAAATGTTTACTTCATATGTATTTGACAGATTTCAATGAAATTTGGTATTTCGGGATTTTCGTCATCACTGATTTCGAATATTAAATTAAATTTCCAAAATTCACAATGGCGGATCCAATATGGCGGATGATTTCTTCAAAAATGTGTATATTGTTATTAAGCTTGGTATCCAGAGATTATCGTCGTCGCTGATTTCGAAATTCATATTCAATTTTCAAAAATCAAAGTGGCGCATCCAATATGGCGGACGATTTCTTCAAAAATGTATACATTTTTATGAAGCTTGGTATTTACTCCATATGTTTTTGGCAGATTTTAATGCAATTTGGTAATTAGGGATTTTCGTCATCACTGAATTCGAATATTAAATTAAGTTTCAAAAATTCAAAATGGCGGATCCAATATGGCGGACGATTTAAAAAAAAAATGTGTAGATTGTTATGAAGCTTGGTATCCAGAGCTTTTCGTTGTCACTTATTTCGAAATTGATATTATATTCTCAAAAATTCAAAATGGCGGATCAAATATGGCGTCCCGAACAATAGGCGTTTTACTTTCAACGCAGTGTCATTGCCATTATCAACATTTGAACCCATTTTGAATTTTGAAAATTTAATTTGAGGATCTCTGTAGTTTCATAACAAACTATTATTTAAAAAAAAAGTGGTCCGCCATATTGGATCCGAAGATTTGATATCAGTTTCGAAACCAGTGGCGACGAAAATCTCTGGATACCAAGCGTCATAACAATCTATACATTTTTTAAGATATTTTCCGCCATATTGTATACGCCATTTTGAATTTTAAAAATTTGATATCAATTTCGAAATCATT